AACTCCTGGCAGACCTTCAGGCCGGCGTCTGAATAACATTTGGGTTCGAGCAGCGCGAACGCGATCGGAGCCTGACGGGTGCGTGGAGGACCGCGGCGTGAGAATACAGGAGGGCCTAACAGAGCAGGGGCGTACGTCCAAGTAGCGATATCCCGAACAGACAAATATTTTCTCGCCCTCCACGAACCAGGGCCCGCAATCACATCCGACAGCAGCTTGAGGTGTGCTTCCTTGGGCCTCGCAGTCCAATCCTGCGATGGGTCCCGGTCGTCGTCGACGACGGAATGGCTTATGGAGAGAGCGTCCTGCGCGTGTCGCTCCATGGCTGCCCATGCGGAGGGGGCTTCAGGAAACCAGACGTCGGTCTTCGATGCATGGACGGTTTGTTGACCCGCCCGGCGTGCACGAGGTGGAAGCCAGACAGCAGAACACCAAAAGGACCACGCAGATAATGCAAAGTTGCGTTTTGACGAGGTGTTGGGCATTGTGAAAGCTATTAGTTGCCTCCCGCAGCCTTCAGGCGAGGAGCATGGGCCTGACGCGCAAGTTCAACACATTCGCACATTTGAAAATCGCCGGAGCAGATTTTTTAAAATACATGCCTTGACACGGAACATGTCGGACCAAAGTGGGGGCCGTTCAAACACAACACGGACTCGATACATGAGCCGACGTCGAGCTGGTTCGGTTCGGACGCGAAGGATTGTTTTCTCAACGATGCGCCGCAGGAGCGGCATTTGACGATGAAGAAGGTGGGGAACCCACGCTGGAGGTACAAGCGGCGGTGGCAGACGATGCACCTGCGGCAGGAACGCAAATTGCCTCCTGGCCGCTGTTTGTCCAGCTGCGCCAGAGACGCGCGTTTTAACGTACTGCACTGCACCATGCAAGAACTCTGCAATCGCTGCCCCTGCAATCGCTGCCCGTGATCACTGCCTCGAGAAATGAATTGTTGGAGACGTCGTCGCAGCATACGTCACAAATAAGCTCGGGTACGCGATGCTGATTAGGTCCAAAGGTCCACATGCCCCACTCACTGCAAATACGGTTTTCTGGATGGTGAGGTACACGTCACGATGCTTCCCACAAATGCCAGAATGCGCCCCGGCAGAAATCGGGCAAGTGGCAGCATCTGCATCTTTTGATTTCCCGAACAGGCAGCTTCCCAGCAGGTTCAGTTCGCGGGCGTGAACCGCGAGGAGTGTCAGGCTTGGGTCAGCCACATGGGCGGTTCAGACCATCCAGGCGCGCGCTAAGTGCGACTGCGGCTCAGTCTGCGTCGCGCGCAGCTACGCGCGCGCCCTCGGGCACTTCCTCCGGCGCGGGGGGCAGCCGTCGTGGTGGGGGATGAGCGCAATGAGTGTGCTCAGGGGCATGCGCGGGTGAGCGGTTGGCGGCAGCGAGCTCGGGGACGGGCGGGGGGGGGCAATTCGGGAATCTTTCAAAACCCTTGCACTTGCGCGAGCCCGGGGAGCTTCGGAATTCAAAAAGTTCAGGAGTCATAGAAAAAAGGCAGAATCACAAACATCCAATAATCCCATTCTCAAACTACGCAGGAATCAAAACATATCAGAGTTCTAAGGGCTTCGAAGCTTTATGGGTGGGGAGACTAGCGCCAAGCGCAGTCTACCCGCCATCATGTTCCCCGGTCCGCAGCCAGGTCATCAGCATATGCTGACACAACACTTCCGTTGAGTTGGTTTCTTGGACGTGTTTTCAATGTTCGACACTTTGCGCATCTCGCACTCCATTCAGGTCAATGCCGTGGACGTGCTTTCAGCGCTGAGCATTATACCATCAAAGTTCGATTGAAGGGTTCCGAAGCTTCCGGGGCGCGGAGACAAAGCGCCAAGCGCAGTCTACCCGTCATCATATTTCTCAGCCCGCAGCCAGACCACCAGCATATGTTGAGACAACATTTCCGTTGGGTTGAGTTCTTGGGCGTGTTTTCATCGTTCCACATGTTGCACATGTCGAAGTTCATTCCGGTAAATTCAGCGAGCATGCTTTCAGCGCTGATCATGTTACGTTCAGACCGCAGTCCGAGCACAACCTCTTCATTGTCACGGAATGATCACGGTCCGCTCGGCTTTCACGGCGGTAAGTCCAGTGTTATTCTCTTGCACAGGATGTCTCTAGAGTTCCGACCACTTTATTTCGGCATCGCACCGCCTCCGCCGCCCCGCCCTTCCATCCACGCGCCCGCACCAACCACCAACCATCGCCACCAGCGTGACGCCGCCCCCCGTCAGTGCTCCGGCCCGACCACTTCATTTTGGCGTCGCACCCCCGTCCAGTGGTGCCGTTTCTACCCTGGGGACCCCGCCCCCCTCCGCCCCGACCATGTTATTTCGGCGTCGCCCCGCCCCCGTCGCCCCGCCCCCGCGACCTTTCTCTCCTCCCCAGCCGCCCAGTGCACCCCGCCCCCCTCCGCCCCGACCACTTTCGGCGTCGCACCCCCCCATCGCCCCCGTGACTCATCCCTCAACCCCCCAACCCCCCGGCCGGATTTCTTTTCTTCTTTCCGCGGGGGGTCAACCTTCGCGGCGACCCGTTAAACCCGGGACCCCTGGCGGCGCATGGATTTCTTTTCTTCTTCCCCGCGCGCGTTGCCGTTGGAACCCCTGAACCCCTCCGACTACCGTACAACTCGTACTTGAGTACAACTGGTACTATCATGTCCTATCCCTAGTGCAACCGCGATTAAGGTGTTGTTGCATTGCACTTACAGTCTCGGCTCTCACGCTTTTCTTCCTCTGGTTGCGCTTGGGGGGGTGGGGCCCCTCGCGCGGGCACCCCCGCGGCTGGGAGTTCATTCCTCTTCCGGAATTTGAGGGGGGGTAACCCCCGTGCTCGAACCCCATCGCCAGGGTTTTTTTCTTTTCTCCGCGGAAACCGGACCCCCTGGGTTCTTCGGCGCGCCCCATTTTTTTTTCCTTCCGGTTGGGCCTCCATGGGTCTTAGGTTGGAGTCACCCGGGTGATACCCCCCCCACAGTCCTGCCTCCCTGACCTTTCCCCCCTCCCCAGATTCCCAGTTCCCTCTGCACCCCGCCCCCGTCCGCCCCGACCACTTTATTTTGGCGGACAATTTTATTTCGGCGTCGCACCGGCCCCACTGTCCCGCCCCCCGACGCTACCCCCCCCCATTGCCGCTCATGCCCCCCTCCGCCCCGACCAATTTATTCCGGCGTCGCACCGCCCCCACCGCCCCGCCCCCACGACCTTCCCCCTTCCCCACCCGCCCAGTGTTCTCTGCATCTCGCCCCCCTCCGCCCTCCGCCCCGACCACTTTATCTCGGCGTCGCACCGCCCCCGCCGCCCCGCCTCCACGAGTTGTCCCCCTTCCCCGGCCGCCCAATGCACCCCGCCCCCCCTCCACCCCGACCATTTCATCTCGGCGACGCACCGCCCCCACCGCACCGCCCACCCGAGCCGTCCCCCCCTTTAGCCGCCCAGTGCCCTTTGCACCCCGCCCCCATCCTGCCCTATTTATCCGGGCTTCATGCCGTTACGTTCCTCCTACAAAGTGACCCAGAGAAACAGAGGGGACGAAGTCCAATGGCGCAGGCCACTGTCTTAAAGCGCGACGCGTGCAGCGCGCTCGAAAGACCCTGCGCGCGGTGATCAACGAGAACGTGGGCGCGCGCGAAGCGCGCGATGATTTCAGCATATATGGTCCAGGGCTTGCCCCCCCCTCCCCCCAATGCTGATGCCATTGGGCCCCCCCCCCCCCCCCGCGCGATGGTCCCCCCCGCCCCCCCCTGTGGGCGTGGCGTGGTGCTGCGCTGCGGTGCCCCCCTCCCCCCCCCCTGTGGATGTGGTGTGGTGCTGTGGTGGTTCAGAGGTGGGCGTGGCGTGGTGCTGCGCTGCGCTGCCCCCCTCCCCCCCCCTGTGGATGTGGTGTGGTGCTGTGGTGGTTCAGAGGTCGTCGTCGTCGTCGTCGTCGTCGTCGTCGTCCTCGTCGTCCTCGTCGTCCTCGTCCTCGTCGTCGTCGTCGTCGTCCTCATCGTCGTCGTCGCCGTCGTCATCGTCGTCATCGTCGCCGCCGCCGCCGCCGGCGTCGTCGCCGCCGCAGCCGTCGTCGTCGTCGTGGTCGTCGCCGTCGTCGTCGTCGCCGTCGTCGTAGTCGTCGCCGTCTTCGTCGTCGTCGTCGTCGTCGTCGTCGTCGTCGTCGTCGTCTCTGGGACCATACCATCTGGGGGGGGGGGGACCGAGGAATCCTGGAACCATACCATCTGGGGGGGGAGGGGGGGGGGCCCGTGGGCCCGGAGCCCGGGATCACATATGCCGTTATTTGAAGCTTGAGCGGGCTTTGGAAGCGACAGGGCCGCGTTTTAAGCCGTTTTCAGAAACATTGTTTTTTTGTAGGTGGGAGCTATAACACAGTGACGCACCGAAACGTGGAACAATGTGTGCCAGAACCGGATTCGGAAACACACGGCGATATGAAACGGCGACAGAAAATAAGAGACATGGAAAAACGGAACCGATGGAACACACATGGCATGCCTCTTTCAAGGCCCGCTGCCTTTGAAAGTGTGCACTGTGTTGGACCTCGTAAGCAATTTACCATATCTTGGTGTAGGTCAAAGCTTCTCTCTTGCAGCAAGAACCCACGGCTTCCTAGCCCGACCGCCCTACGGCACCCGGCCTCATTCAATTTGTTTCACGCTTCATGCTTCTGCCAGCTCCTGCCGAACGGCCCGCGCTGGTGCACAGGCCGTACTCCTGTACGGTAGGTTTGCGACGTGTCGACCAGCGGCGACCCCGGCGCGGGCGTTCAAGGTTGAACGCCGCCGGCGGCCCAGAATCGATCGATGTTGAACGATCGGACGTTGCGGCAGCGGCAGATCGTTCAAGGTTGAACGATCCCTGCGGTGTCAAAACCCAACGCTGGGGTCGGCACGACACGAGCCTGCCGTACTCGGCCCGCAGTCGCGTGCGCCGCCTCCGGCCGACCGTCCGGCCGCCGCTTTCACGCCGCCGCCGCCGGGCCAGGCCGCCCTGCGCAGCGCCCGCCTGGCCTGCGTGGAGATCCACGCGTCCAGGCTCGGGTCGGGCGAAAGGGGGGGATTGGGAAAGGGGGGGTTACGAAATTTGCTGCATGCAGCTGGTTTCGGCCTCACCGAGGGGCCCATTCCTCGATACATAGCTCCATCCGGCGCCGGGAGGCGCCGGGAAAATCAGCTACGTGAGCCGATTCTCAAACCCCCCCTTTGCTATCCTCCCCTTTCGCCCGACCCGACAGGCGCCTGCGCATTGTGATCCAGAAGATCCTGGGGGCGGCGCAGAGGGCCTTGAGGCGTCCCGGCCGGTCGGCTGCAGTCGGGGCCCCGAAGAAGGAACCCTTTTTCGTTGGGGAGGGGCCCCGCGTTCCTTTTAAGTGTTTCGCAGCTTGCCTCAGGTTCTCCTCGTGTTTTCGATTGGAAATCGAAGTTCAACTTATGGCAAGAAGGGGCCTCGTTCCTCATCCAGGGTTCCTCGGGTCAGCGCCCCGACTGTGCAGAACGCGGGAGGTCGTCGTGCAGGGCCGCGCCTCGCAGTTGTTGGCCTCCCCCGGGGGCCGATCCCTGGCCCCGTGGCGTCGAGCACCGGCTTGTGGCATAGAGAAGCTGCTCCCGGGGGAGACCCTGCCGTCCAGGACCTGCTTCCAGGAGGCCCCCTCTTTTGCTCCCTGGCCCCCTGACGTCAAGCACCGGCTCATGGCATAGAGAAGCTGCTCCCAGGGGAGAGCCTGCCGTCCAGGACCTCTTTCCATGAGGCCCCCTCTTCTGCTCCCTGGCCCCCCGATGTCAAGCCAAGCACCGGCTTATAGCATAGAGAAGCTGCTCCCAGGGGAGAGCCTGCCGTCCAGGACTCGCTTCCAGGAGGCCCCCTCTTTGGTTCCCCCCAGAACTACGAGAAGAGAAGGGAAGTTGGAGATGGATCGAGCATCGCGGCCGTCGAACGATGCTTTGTGGACTCACTGGACCCCGTGCGGTGCCTCCATCACCACGGCTGGATCCGCCCAGACTTGTGGTCTGAGCGCACCCCAGGGGGGGTCCGGGGGTTGTTTTCTGATTGAGGGGAGGTGGGAGAGAAGACAGGGGCGGAGGGAGGGATGAGAATGGATGATGGAGATGACTACTTCATCGAGCTGGAGCCTGAGCGAAAGACAACAGTTCGAATGGCGTGGCGAATATGCATGCGTGACAGACACATGCGCGCTCAAACACACAAGGATGACATTTGAGCTAGTCAATTCAATGCGTGATTTCGGTTCACCTTATGGTGCGAAGGCATTACGGCTGGTGACGCCGACCCTGAAGACGGCGACGACGAGGACGACGAGGATGTTGAGGAGCAGGTGGCGGAGGACGCTAGGGCGCTAGGGAGCAGGAGGGGCGAGGAGAAGGAGGAAGAGGTGCGAGGGGGAGGAGGGGGAGGACAAGAAGGGGGGCGAGAGGGATGGGGAGGGGAAGACGAGGAAGGGGGGAGCGCAGGGGGGAGAGCGAGGCGAGCAGGGACGTAGTTGCAGGAGAAGGACGGCTGACAAGGAGGAGGGGCAGCGGTGGGTAGAGCGTGGCGAACAAGAACAGCAGGAGACGGAGTAGGACAGTAATGGCGAGGATGTTGTTGATGACGACGACGACGCGTATGATGCCGGTGATGATGACGATGACGATGTCGTTGAGGGAGGGGGGGGTGTAAAGCCGGCGGCAGGAGAAGTCGGAGGAGGAGTAGGAACGTGAGGATGATGGTAATGAAGGGGAAGAGGAAGGGGATGTGAAGAGGAGGAGCCCGAGGCCGAGGAGGAGTGGGAGTAGGAGGAGGAGGAGGAGAAGGAGGAGGAGGAGGAGGAGGAGGAGGAGGGCGAGCACGGGGAGGCTCACGAGGTTGAGGAAAACAAGGGTGAGGGTGCACACGTACTCTTGTCCGGAGTGGTCCCCCGGAAAGGCTGATGGGGGACATGGACGACGTGACGACGACGACGACGACGACCACAACGACGATGACGGATACGACGCTCACGACGACGATTGGACGACCATTTTTGGGGGGGGCAGCGCGTCCGTGGCCGAAAGAGGAATAGGAGGGTCAGGAGAGGGAGGGAAACGGGAGTGGCGGACGTCCCCAGAAACAACATAGGAAGCGAGCCCTCGGCGTGTCTCCGAACTGTTTTCGTGTCCCCGTGTCCGCCCTCTCGGGATCCCGGGGTTCTTTCTCCTTTCCCTCTCTTCGGGCTCTCCGTTCCCTTTGCCCCCTCCCCACAGCCTTTTGGGCTTGGGGTGCCTCTACGCGTAGAGGCACGGACATGTCTCTAGCGTACTGAAATAACTCGTTATCTCTCCTCCCGTCCCCCAGATCGTCATCAGAGGTCACCCATCCAGTAACAGTGGTAAGCGGAGTTCGTGGTTATCGAGTGGACAGGAGGACGACGAATCGAGGTTCCAGATCGCGAGGACAGAACTGTGTCTCGCCCGCCGAGGGCCCCGACTTTTCCTTCGAAGGTATGCCCTCCCATGGTGAACAGGGCGTCGCCTCCCAGAGCGCTGGCACCCAGACGGACGACCCCAGCTCCGACGACTCCAGATGGGGATGAGGTGCAAGCTGGTGGAGCTCGACCTGGCGGACTCCAGCGACTCCCTGGACCCCGAGCTGGTGGGCCGACGCCCGGGCGCCCGGGAGCCCTCTCAGGCCGCCCCCGCTGCCGACGATGCAGGCCAGGCCGCAGTGCCAGCGCCCGAGCAGTTCGATCCATGGCGCGCCGCGGCCGAGGCCTGGTCCGGCGGGGAAGCCCACAGCCCGTCCTGGGAATGGCA